AAAAGTTAGTACCACTTCCAAAAAGATCTAGAATTTTAGAGATTAAGGATCTTTTAAAGATGATAATTATACTCATTTCTTAGTGAGTATAATTCGGTGCTTTAGCAATTGTATTAGAAGAAAGTGTTTATCTTATAAAGAAACCGAGTAAATGAAAAATAATGTTGCAATCCTAATCTTTTCTCTTCAGTTGTACTGAAATTCATTAAGAATTGAGTTTAGTGCATTTTATCTACTTACAGAGTTCCAATGTTTTAAAATATAATCACCTTGATTCTCACAGTCATCGAAGTAGTTACTTTTAGGAAGATGAGTATTTTTGGAAGTATGTTTGCAGAACATGTAGCCCATGCAATAGTGAATTAGATAATATTACCTTTTAAATTTTATATTTGTACTGTATCAAATAAAAATGCATTTGCCTTACATAGAGCCATGTTAAAACTTTGTTTCGTGAAATAGAATGAAATTCCCAATTGAATCAACAATTGTTTTGAAATGCACTTATTTTTTTGAAACAAGTAAAATTGTACTTGGACTCTAAAGATGCAGAATAAATGATTAGTGCTTCAGTGAATGGCAGTGGTATATTTAATTTTTCATTAATCTTGATGCAAAGACTATAATTGATTGCACAATCATGATTGATCAATTCTCGCTTTTCTTTACTTAGCCAAGAAAGAATTTAAAAAGCATTATCACTGGTAAAAATCATCAGTCGATCAATCAAACTCTGCTTTTTGCTAATTAGAAGCTATTATTTGTATGTTTCTAAATATAGATGGTTATACTGCTACTAACATTTCATATCTTAAAGAAGAGTGAAATCAACATCCCTCTTCAAAATTAATCTTTATTTTAGTTATAAGTCAAGCATGGTGATACTATGTCTCAGTATTTTTATAAAAGATTAATTAATAAGTGGAGTGATTTCTTTTGTAATGACCCCTATTCAGGGTAGATGGATCTCTAGCCATCATCTTTTTTCTAAATGATAACCGTGATCTCCAGTCTATTTGTAGCTATGATTTTGCCAAATTTGATGCTTTTGTATTATAAAACGTATATTCTCAGGTTGTTTTAAATTCATATTTGCCCTTCCTTTAATGACATTGCAGGAATGTCTTCATAGAGGACTTGGTTATGAACTAACTATAAGATTTCTTTGATGAGTAATCTAAGGTAGTACTAGTCTTTTCTAACTTGCACTGGATGGAACGCACATCTCCTCTCATCTTCAACACAACTAGATCTGACTCTTGCTCTCACATGACTTCAACCCATAACCGAGCTAGTTTCCTGAACAAGTTGAATCCTTAAAGTTCTGTGAACTAAAATTCTCTGGCAAATAAGCCTAGTTTTCCCTTTGAATGGCCATAATGTAACTCTGCACATGGAAATATTTCTTAGAAATGTGTGCTGCTACTTTCCTCTATGTATTCTGAAATGTGGAGCATCACACAATGGTGATGTGTAATATCTGTGTGCAGTACAATTTGATTTTCCGAAATAGGGAAGCACAAATTCTGTCTGGAACGATTTCTTTTATTGGCTCACTGTAGGAAAGAAACTTGCCATCGTTCCAAAGACGAAACTGCTGCTGGGTTTAGTTTTGAATTTTATAAAGTGGATGAGTGAAAAATATGTACACATTCATTTCAGACTCAAGTTATGAATAATTAAACGAACATATAATTATATCCAGTTTTACCCTCAAGCTCAACCAGCAAAGACATCCTCAGCCCATGTAAAAAGGATACTTCATATTTTTTTCAAAAATTATGAGTGAGCTGCCAAACATCACTTAATTTATATGCTCATATGCAAGGTAACAATCTGTAAAATTATACAGTGGAGAATATAGCAACATTCAAGAGTTTTGTTTAATGTATGTTACACCTTCTGAAAATTGAATTTACACAAGCATTTTCTTAGTGTTGTCTCAAGTCTTCTTCATCATTTCTCATCTTACTGCTGGTCCAAAGTTGGGGTGGGGGTGGGGAGCAGGTAGACTCAGCACATCTTGAAAGTCTATTTTGGCTGACTGCTTTTGTTTTGATGTATGAAGTATAACAAAGTAACATGAATGATTTTAACACAGACACTAAAGCACATATTCAAATAAGTGTTGTTTCTCTCCAAGTTGTTTAGGACTTATCCTAATGATGCTATCATCGTGTAAGACCTGTTTCAGTCTCTTCTTTTGGAGCACAATTATACAGTAATAATTAATTGCTTTTCCATATTGGTCATTATATGATTCTGAATAAATCCTTAGCATTAAAAAAACCCCATTTAATCTGGCTTTCAGCTACTTCTTTTTGTTACTGGCCTTGCACACTCACTACTCCCCCATGGCTTGTGCTCCAGTCCTGATGAACAATGTGCAGTTAGTTCCTAGCAGCCTCTATGCATTTGCATATGCCATTGCATTTGCTTGAAAGACCCTCCTATTTCCTTCAGAAAATCTTCCTTTACTGTCCGCACTTCCCACTCTCCCCCCAATCTATTTAGCTCCCTTCTATTTAACTGCACCTTGAAAGTACCCAGGTTACCTCGATCCAACAAATTATTTTCTGTCTTCATTTGCCCCTCTCCCTGACTAGTCGGTGAGCTCCGTGAGGGTAGACTTTGTGTCTTTTTCATCTGTACCCTCAGGGCCCAACAGTATTGACTCACAATACTATTCAATAAAAGTTTGTCCAACGATGGCTTGTGAATGAATACAAAGGCTTGTCAAAAGGTTTGTGGATACTTGAATGAAATGAGTAACCTAAGACAACTCTGAAGGTAAATATTTATTTATTTGATTGAGACCTAGTCCATTTCGAGAACCACTAATCAATAAATACTGTTAGGCAAACTATTTCGTCAGTTTAGTAAAATCAGATTCCCGACCTCATGTGATAAGCATTTATATACAATTCCAATTGGAGTTAATATTCATATTTTTTAAAGACAAAACTGTAAACAACTATAGCTATTTGAATAATTTTAGGGTGAGGAAGGCCTATTTAAGTATAACACCGAAAGCAGAAACCACAGAGGAAAAGGTCGATGATCGCTCTGAACTAATTGATCACTTTCCAAATGATACCTTCTACTTTGAGTTTGAAAGCCACCCTTTTTCTTTCTGAGTTATTTTCCAAATTTTAAGAGTCTAAATATCTGCCCATTCAAGGAGGCACATAGGAAAAAATAAGTGATTATAAAAATACACTAAATATTGTGTATTTTCCCCGGAAACACAGGGAAAATTGTGTCTTTCCTATGCTTTTTTTCAGATTAACAAATGGACCCATTGTTTAAGGTAGTTCACCTAAAAGTTAAAGGAAAATATATTGAGCATATTATTTGAAAATGTTAACTAGCATATTGTTTGAAAATGTTAGTCCTATGTTTCTGACTTTTTAAACATTCTATGAAGTGTCATTTTTAACTATAAAAAATGGAGCAACCTAAATGTTCAATAAGGAATTATTGGTATGGAAATTTTCCATATTAAAAATGTTGTTGAAATATACTTATTGACCTGAAAGAGTTAATATTTTTAAGTAAAAAAAAGATTATAAACTATTAGGTACAAATTATCGCAATTTTATAAAAACATGTGCTATTTATGTAGTTATACGTATACAAAAATCTGATTATCTTTTTTGCCTTATCTGTAGTTTATCTAATGTCTCAACAGCAAGTATAGATAATTAATGAGATGGACTAAAAAGACAAATACTAGAATGACTTACTCAAAACCGAAGCAAACGCTGATCAAGCTTATTAAACAATAGTTTTTGAAATGAAAAAGAAACTAAAAATTGCAAAAATCACATAACTCTATATCAAATGATTTTCTGCCACCCTGTGGAGAATACTAGTCATTGCAGGACTGAAATAAGCAAAATATGGAACTATTAAAAATCTGTAACTGTAGATGGAATAGCTTATAGCAGCATGGCCCAAGAAGTTGTTTAATTAAAGCTGTTTATCAGTTGATCAGTTTTGTTTGTTTTCTCTGCCAGCTCTTTAGCAAAATTTCTAGAATAGGGGGAAGATAATAATACCTATCACTTACATATGATTATGCCAAGCATATTCTTATACAGGACTTTATCTCACAAAAACTATGAAGTAGGTATCATTTCTTTTTCCCATTTTATAGGTGAGACACAGAGCGTTTAACCGCCTACCAATAGTGAGTAAATGTCAAAGCAAGGTAGACCCCAAAGCGGCATTTTGTGTCAATGATTTTAATTTTTGAGCTTTTCAGTTCCTCTCGAGCCTCATCATTCCCTAATGCCTTACTCAAATAGTTGACTGCTGAGCTTTTGCAGAAATTCAGTGGGTGAGATTTTTGAGAGGGATTGTGATATTCTCCAAGCTAATTTTATTCCCTTTAAGCTGTAGAGTAGGGTTGCGACTCAAAGTCTGATCCATATACCTAGGCCCTTCAAAGAACGGTTTGTTACGGGTCTACAGCGAGAATAGTACAGAAACTGACCGTAATCATTTAGAAAATTTTATGGCAATTTGATAGGTAAATTGATGGCTACTGACTCTAACGATAAAATGTTTCCAATATTTTTATCTTACCAAAACATGGTCCATAACTAATTGAAAATTTTAAAAATAATAAATCGACCGCTCTGGCCTACATATAGTTTGAGAAGCACTGTTGCAGGGTAAAGCTGTTCACCCTCGTGTTTTACCAAACTCCGGATTCTTCTGAGGTCCAGTTCTTCAAAATGAGGCCTCAGATATTTTCCGTCCCCTCACTTCATCCATTTTATAATATACAATTATTGTAGCAATCAATAAAGTCAACATAAAGACTATGTCGAAGAAGCGCCCGCTGCCTCAGAGACGCCGCCAAGAAGGCGTCAAGGGTACCCCGCCAGCCCAGCCCGAAAGTAGGGCAGCCGCGCGCGCGCACGCGCAGACTGGAATCTGCGACGGCGGAGGGGGCGGGGAGAGGGACTCCCGGGCTGCGAGAAGACATTACGCTCCCGCCTCCGCCGCCTGCCGCGCCTGGAGGAGGTCGGGATGTAGTCACTTCCTCCCGGGCCCGCTCTCTGTATCCGGGTCAGCTGCGCCGTTGCCGCTACCTGTGACCAGGATACTGGGCCCGGGTCTCCACCGCTGTCCGAGGGGAGCAGGCTCCGCTCGGCGCTATCTTCTGCGACCTGGCCGTCAGCCCCACGTCGCCGGCCTGGAGGGGCGAAGAAGACGAGGGAGCCAAGGCTTCCTCCGGAGTGAGTGCGATCCGGGAAGGTTGGACACGGCGGGTCTGGGCTGGGAACAGACCTGGGGGCAGGCGTCTGAGGGGCGCTTTCCCCTGGACCACCGGAGAAAGGTAGCCCAAGGGGTTATTATTCGTAGGGGGCGCTATAGAATTTGCCCGGGAGGCGCTTCCCGGATCCCCGCCCTGCTTAGGCCCCCGCCCTTGGCTCGGCTCCTGTTTGCATTTGCCATCCTCACCCCCCCCACACACACCCCTTTTCCGTTTGTGGTGATTGTGCTCCAGATGGAACCTGCTCCCTTGTACGCTCCCCTGCACACCCCGGTCTGGGTGTGGTGACTGGGCCTCGTTGATCCCCCGTTTATGACCAGCGTCCGTCCTGGTGTAGAACAAAGAAGCTTGGACTGAGGTGCCTCGTACCCTCGGAGAATAAACGCGGAAGCGGCGTTTGTAATCAGGGCTTTAATAGACCTTCCTACGTGAAAAGTCGGGTTCCTGCATGGATTCAGACACAACCTTTTGCCTGAATACCTGGCAAAAATAATTTGGGTTTCCTGGGTTCATCTGATGCCACTGGAGACCTACTAGATCAACTGACTCATGTTACATGAAAACTATTTGGTTCTATTACGTTGCTTCGGAACTTCCCTTGTCTCTGTCCTGGGAGCTCTTTGAGAGCACAGTTTTTGTCGTGTTCATCTAGGCAGTCATAGTGCCTCCCTTATAGTCGAAGTGTGTGATTGCGTCTTAGTGTTGCTTTTTTTTTCATCCTCATCTTTTTTTTTGATTAGGATCTCTGTTTCTCCTAAAGTTTAATTTCTTAATTTTTTAAAACAACGTTCTTTCTCTGGTATTTTATAATTCTGCAATTTGTAAATGAACAATTCCTCAAAATTGCAACTTAAGTTGCCCAATTTAATTACCCTGCAGACAGTTATCTTGATCTTACACATCTTATCCATAGTTCTTATCATTTTACATTTTCTCTTAACTCTATTCTTAGTCTTCATAATCTCCTCTCTTGCAGCCTAATATTGTTGGGCTTAAATAGGAAGTATGACAGGTCCACTTCTGCAAACATGGAACTTGAACGACATCATCTTTAGGCATTACAGGACCTTTGAAGCTAAGTGTAACCAAACCTGGCATTAAAACTCTATAAAGTTGCCAGTGAACTGAAGACACTGTGCTGTATTAGAAACAGTCTAAGTCTGGGAACCAGGATGTAGCATCATTTGCTTCGTATATAAGATAAAATGAGGACAATAACACCAGTGTTTTATACCTCGGGAAATTGTTGGTTAGTACATAAGAGGTGATGAATGTACAAGTGGTTAGTAAACATGAAAAGCACTCTTTAGGAAAGCAGTTCTGTTCATTCCATCTGGAGTATTGCTGGTAAAAGGAACAGTGAGGAAGACAGGCATCTAAGAAAGGAAGTAGTATATTTGGCCAGATCCCATAAACTAACTTTGGCTGATAGTAGATTGAAAGGTGTCTTGTTAAGTTTACATCTTATAAAGCAGAATACTAGTATAGTATGACAATTATATTCCAAAATTATAATATTTGTAACCCTGCAACAAAGTGTTAGAGATTAGTTATTAGACTTTAATCTTTTAAAGGTCTCAGGCACCTCCTTATTGGTAATTTAATAAATGTACCTTTTATAGGTGGCATAATTATCCTTTGCTTTATTGTCACAATTTTAAAAAAAGTCAGCACCGTTGTAATTTTTCTTGAATTTTGTGTTAACATTTCTGATAGAGTACCTCATTTCATTTTTTAATTGAGATATAATTGACATATTATGTTTCAGCTGTACATGATTCAGTATTTATATATATTATGAAATCATATCTCCACACTTAGTTATGAAAATTTTTTTTCTTGTGATGAGAACTTTTAAGACCTGCTATCTTAGCAACTTTCAAATATGTAATATAGTATTATTAACTATAATGTTTATGCTGTACGTTACATCCCCAGGACTTATTTTATAACTGAAAATTTGTACCTTTTGATCCCCTTTACTCTGTCTGCCACCTCATCCCCACCCCACACCTCTGGCAACCACTGATCTGTTCTCTATATCTATGAGCTCAGTTTCATTTGTTTTTTGTAGTTGTGTTTCAGATTACATACATAAGTGAGATCATACAGTATGTGTCTTTCTCTGACTTACATAGCATAATGCCCTCAAGGTCCATCCATGTTGTTGCAAATGGCAAGATATCTTTCCTTTTTTATACCCAAATAATAATATTCCTGTGTGTGTGTGTGTGTGTGTGTGTGTGTGTGTGTGTGTGTATACGTACACACACACCACATTTTCTTTATCCCTTCATCATAAACACTTAGGTGACTTCCATATCTTAGCAATTGTAAATAATGTTGCAATAAACATGGGAGTGCATATAATGATTTCGTTTCCATTGGATAAATACCCAGAAGTGGAATTGCTGGATCAAATAGTAGTTCAATTTTTATTTTTTAAGGAACCTCCAAACTGTTTTCCATAGTGGCTATACCAATTTAGATTCCCACCAATAGTGCACAGGGATTCCTTTTTCTCCACAGCCTGGATAACACTTGTTTTTTGTTTTGTTTGTTTGTTTGTCTTTTTGATAGTAGCCACTTTAACAGGTATGAGATTACATTGTGTTGTTTCATTCTTAAAAACCTACATGACCTTGCTCTCAAGAAAGCTCATAGGATTTTTCCAGGGGTGTTTTGGTGGACCTTAGTAAACATATAGGATGGCCTAAATTATTGTCCTGTAGTGCTACCAGTGTTGCCAACCTCATAGGAAAAAGTGAACATAAATATTTAGAATGAATCCCTTTCATTTAAATAAAGAAGTAAAAAGCTTGCCTGGACATTTTCTTCTGCCAGCTATAATTGATCTCAGCATAGATGGGGTTACTAGTACCTATTCCAGCAGCAGTGTTAAACTACATAATAGTAAAGTTACCGTTACCGTGTAAAATTATAATTCAGGCATTTCTAAATATGATCGTAATATTTATTTTTGCTCATATTGCCAAGCGGCATGAGTAAATACACTTCTTGGTTGAATTTACCACCACACCTCCCTTCTGAAGCTATGTCGGAAAGAAATTGTCTCCATTGTCTCCTTGATTTTTAACCTAAGGTGAGCAACTGTTTTGAATTTGTATCTGTGACCTCCACTGAGAACTGGCATAAGTAATAATGTGCCACAACTACCACAAGTCTGTTGAGAAATCAGGTTATTCCTGTTGCATTATGTTTTAACCAATAGCATCTTAAGTGTTATTTCCCCATTCTAATTTACAAAATCTGAACAAAAAATGGGAAACAGTCACAGTTAACTTTAAGTCAGCAATATCCTGATTTCCTTCAAAATGGTTGTGCTTATATTGCTCCTTTCTCACTTGTTTCCTGTTCTTACAGCTGCTGATGGTAAAGTGCTTCCAAGAACAGTACTCTTTCAATTGTATCAACTGTTTACATCTATCTTGTGGACTTTTCCCCCTAAAGTTCATGATGAAATGGTCAAGGGTGAATCTCTTTATTTCTCCTCCTAGGTTCTGTTTAACTAGCTTATTTAATTATCCCCGAACTAAATATCCATGTTGATACACTGCGGTGTATTTATACCACATGATTCAGTATGATGTTAAAAATTGAATGCATAGGCTAAGAGAGTTGAAGTACTTGGGCCTTCTGTGTTTGGGGGGGCTGTTTTCTAGATCAAGTGGTAAAGCAGCTAAAAAACATGGTTTGTCTTCTAGAATTTCACAGGATACATATAAAAGCAAAGAGTAATTGTACCAACAGAATTGATAGTGCACGTATGTGGGTTGCCTCAAATATTTTCATTACACTTTTTGAGGAGTAAAACATAACAGAAAGCCTATTTACATAATTTAATAAAAATAAGCCTAAGAGGTTGAGCAAACCAAAAGCTTATGATTCTTGTGTCATACTTTACAATTAAATATTTAACTAGTATTTCAAACCTATTATGTGCCAGGTGCTGTGCTGGTGTTGAGAATATAACAGTAGCAATTTTCAGTCACCGCTTTTATTTTTGAAATAGTAAATATATTTCTGAGTATGTGGGACATTTGAGAATGATACCTGGAACATCCTGATATCTTCCCAACACCCAGTAAAAAAGATGAGACAAAATAATAGAAAGCTTTTCTGATTATTGAATTTAGGGAAATATATTAATTCACTTTAGATTGAGTATCAAAGACTTGAGAAAACATTGAATTAAAAATTTGGAAGGGATTGTCAGTTTTCAGCCTTTAGCAATAGAATGCTTTTGTCTCACTTGAGTGTAACTCTAGAGTAAGTATTAAGTATTTGGGCCTTTTGGCCATACTTTTTTTTTTTTTTTATTAGTTCTGTATTCTAAATAGAAAAGGTTATTTATTAATGTAGGTATTCCTTTTTCATTTATTTTCCTCCCTAAAGGAAGGAAGAGTTGCTGTCAGAATAACCTATGGAGTGATCATTGAAAGCGTATATTAACTACTGTAAAGTGTAGGCTATTAGAAGCAGAGGAACTGTGAAATATGTCAAGATTATTTTATTTTAAGTGTGTTTTTTATTAATTGCTCAAAACTTTCTGGCTCGCTGTTTTCCCAGAGTATTAAAAATGCCTTACTCCTATATATAAATTAACCGATTTTTCAAAACAAATATTTTGGTTGAGGAAGAGACAGCATTTGCCATTTTTCTGTGCTAACAATTGGATCCTCCAAAATTTAAACCTTTGTTTGAGGTGTTTGAAACCTTTTCTTAAGCATATATAAGAATTCAAACTGGAAAGAGCCTCCCGGTCTCAGCAAAGGTGTGAATATAGTTCAGCATGTGAAATCTAGCACTTTAGAAAATTTCTAGTGTAATTTTGTTGTTGTTGTTCTAGAATATAATGCTATAGTTGTTTTCTATACAACTTTGTGCATCTTTTGAGTATTATAATAGCAAATAAGGCTACCATAAAACATGACCACATCTTTGTTTTAGAAGACTAGTTGAAGTGAATGTTAATGGCTCGTACCATTTGTTTTATTTGATAAGTATTTTAAAAAGTTATTCATACGCAGTTTTTTAAGTCAAATAGTTTAAAAATATTTACTATGAAAATCGGTCATTCTCTTCATCCCTGATCTTCATCCCTTCATCTCTTTCTTCTACTGGAGGTCAACCACTTTTAACCTTGCTTTAATACTTCTAGTAATATCTAGTGTTACCTTCTATCTCTTAAGAAATACTATATGTTTTACTGCTTTTTTAATAAATAACTTTAGACATCTATTGATTTCCTCTGATATAAGTGAACGAAATACTCATTTATACCTCTTGCCTCTTGTCACAACTTTTGTTGCTGTGTTAACCAATTGATTTTCATGACTTCTTCAATAATATATTTAAACCTCTGTTTCTTATTCCATCAACTAAACCAATCTCTGGGTTCCTCACTTGGTAAAATGAGGATATTAACACTCACATCCTTCCTTGGAAAAACTAAAACTAAAATATATGGCTTAAGTTACAACGTGTAGTTGCATGAACAAAAATATTCACTAAATTAGGCTGACAGCATACCACTTGGTTCTGCTGAATCATAAGAATGTAAGTGCTGTTTGCTAGTGTTCAATTTCTAGAATCAACCTCTATCCAGAGGACAGAAATTTTAATTATAAGTTTAGACTAGAAAACATATTTATTTAATTTGATTCCTTGCCCTCTCCCCTTGTTTTTACATAATTCACAATATCTAATAAAGTTTAAATCACAGCCTGGGACACACATGCATAGATACAACTAAAAACAAATGCGAATATATATACTCTGTTTTCTCATTTTTTTTTAAAGTGATAGTTAGCAATCTAATAAATTTATTTCATGACCACACCATTGAGCTTTAGCTGAATCGTTGATAAGATGGAGGTGGGAACTAAGGTATAAGATTATTGCACCTTTTCAGCAGGTGAAAAGTAAAGTGGAAAATAGGTTATACATTTTTCTTTTTTCACAGGACATTGGCTCTCCGAATTATCAGGAGTTTATAGTTGACATCGAGTCTAAGCTGAGGATGGAAGGTGTAGAACTTAAGGAAGAATGGCAAGATGAAGATTTTCCAATGTAAGCGATGCTTTTAAATGGAAACAGACTTAAAATAAAACTCCGAAATTTCTTTATTGCAGTGTCACTTATTAAATGAATATTGGACTTAATTTTCTGCTTTTATTTTTAAGAAAAGTGTATTAAATAAATAAGCAAGGATTTTGTAGATCATCTGGCCAGCTACCATAACACATTTGCATTTGTATTTACAATTGTATTGGCCCAGGGTGGGTTAATAGAAAAGAGCAAAGGCAGATCTTGGTTTTTTTTCCCTAATCTTATTGAGAAATAATTGACATATCACTCTTAAGCTTAAGGCATACAGCATGATAGTTTGCTGGCCTTATATTTAAATGAGATTTCTATGCCATCATGGTCAGAAAACCATCCAGTGCACAGTAAGGTCTCTTAGCAATTGGAATGTAGACAGCTAGTGAGAGTATTGAGTCATTCATTGCATAGTACATGATAATAGTTTTATAGAAATGTTGAACTCAGAAGAATTATAGCCATCATTACCATATTTCTATTGTGAGTAACAATTTAGCTTCATCATACATTGTATCATATATCACATTAAATTCATGCATTCAAATACTTGTTTTTTTGGTTTATAATTTTTACATTTGTTTTATAGTTGTATTTAAAAACAGTTACATAAAGAATACAAAGAATTTATATCTACTTTTATGTGTTTCTTATGTAAATATGTAGTTAGCTCTGACAGCCTGAAAATATTTTCTTTAAAGGTGGTTTGTAAAGTACTTAAGAAACTGCTTTATTCGGTTTTCCTTGTAATTGTTTCTATAAGCTATTTTTAATAGAGCTTTGAACTTCAAAATTTTTTTTTTAATTTCCTGGTTAAAAAGGGTATGTCTTGGTATGTCTCTATCTTCTAGACCTTTACCAGAAGATGATAGTATTGAAGCAGATATATTAGCTGTAACTGGACCAGAGAGCCAGCCTGGTAAGAACTTGACACTTTTAGTTTCAGTAAAATGATAGGCTTTAACTGTGCTATTTTTTAGCACATTTCTTTGTCAGGAAAAAAATATGCTCAGTGTTTGTTTCATCATAAGGAGCCAAAGAATAAGTTGAATGTTGAAGAAAGCATTTTTGGAATGCTTTGAAAGTTTTTTGGAAATTTAACTTTCCAAAAACAGATCCTTGGTTTTTGGAAATTTCCACACTAAAGAGGTGAGGAGATCATTTTCAGTAGTTAAGAGGTGACTGTAAGGTCTGCCTCTGTTATTTAAAAAGGCATATCCTTGCTGGGATACAGCATCTTGCCTTGATATAGAAGCAATAGTGATCAAAGTCTGAAGTTGTAAATTAGTGCTTTGGGCTTGTGTTTAGTTAATGTTATTTTTCCTAAGGATGAAGTAGATATTTAAGCATTCCTTCTAATATAGCCTTCACTTTGTTGATTCATTCCAGGCTCACCGGAAGTTAATGGAAATAAAGTTAGAAAGAAACTAATGGCTCCAGACATTAGCCTGACCCTGGACCCTAGCGATGGCTCTGTATTGTCAGATGATTTGGATGAAAGTGGGGAGATTGACTTAGATGGCTTAGACACACCGTCAGAGAACAGTAATGAATTTGAATGGGAAGGTAAATGTTTCATTATTTTTATCTGACTTTTATTAATGTTTGTCTTTATATACATACATGTTTTTATAATGGCATTCTCATATTAGGATAATTGGAAAAACTTAAAACTTGATCATGAAACCAACTAAAATCAGTGATTAAGGGGTTTTGTTGAAATATGTTATTCTTTAAAGTTCATATTTTTTTTTACTAAGATACGAAATTTTGCTAACACTGAGTACTCTCATAGCTTTTGAACTGTTTATGATAGATTGCACAGGTTTTATTTTTTTTCTTAATTGCCCAATGCTGCAAAGTTTTTTTCATGGTTGCTCCAAAATATCGCTTGATAATTATGGCATATTCTAATAGTTGATCAGCTAAGAAAAAAATCTTTGAAGAGACATATAATTTAGGGAATGTGCTGAAAGTAGTTAAGGGTTTTCAGAGAGGGAATTCCAAAGGGATTTTTCTCAGGGTAGTTTTTTAAATGGATTTGCCTAATAGTGTTGCACTTTGTAAACAACCAACACGAATTAATGTATACTCTTAGCTCCCAAACCTTATATTCCTTATCATTCATTATTTGGAATTCAAAGGAATTGGCATGTGTTTTGCTTTGCGTGCTTTCTTTAATTAGATAATTGTCTACAGTATCTTTGTGTAGTTGTTAATATATGTAGTCCATCTTTAAAATGATTTTTACTTCAAAGCAGTATTTAAGCACTAGGTATCTTATCTGCAGTAAAGAGTAAGATCCTTGATAATGCTGTATCTTTTACTCCTTTTTTCTTCCGTTTTACTGGTTCAATGAGCAGTCCAGTGATAAGCAGTATTTTATAAAGATACTGAAATAGTTTTCTGCCTATGTGTTTTGTCTCTTCTTTCTTTAATGCTGCTGTAGTCATTTCCTGGAAGGATATTTTCCGTTAACAGCTTTATCTTGGAAACAAACAACTAACATGCAGTAGGTTCCCCTCCCCCATCTTTTGGTAAGGACTACGATACTAAAATTTTGAAAATCATTACATCATTAAAAATCAGCTAAAATGCATTCTGGAAATATAAATTACACCTAATCATTGATGCTTATGCTTTGGCTAATATCAATTTAAAATATACTTTTGCATGTACACTTCAGAATATTATCAATAAATTTCCGCTTTATAAAACTGATCAAATGGGAAATAATGATTGATTAGTTAACCACGTTCTATCTGGTTTTATAATGTTTGGAGAATAATTTATTTGCTCAACAATGACAAAAAGGTGGCTCCCAAAAAATTACTTTAAATAATTATAGTGTTGATAGCTGTCAAGGACAGTGTTGTTATAAACAGAATCTGAAAAGGCATTGCAGAGCCAGTGCACTAAGATTTTGATGCCTATATGAATTATCTTTTCTGAATTCGTGGATATACATTGCACTGTAATTAGGTGTTTTCTGAATTAGGCAATTCAAAAAAAGTTAAAGAACCATGATTTCCAAAAGCATAAAATAGCCTCATCAAGAGCAAGCCTTTTCCTTTATTGTGGAAGAAATACTTAAAATTCCACAGAAGGTATAATGAAAACTTCTCTGAACATTCTAATTAGATAGTAAAGTGGTTAACATGTAATTTGATTTTTATGGTATAAATAACAATTTGGGATTCAAAAACCTTTTATTTTGACAGATGATCTTCCAAAACCCAAAACTACTGAAGTTATTAGGAAAGGCTCAATTACTGAATACACAGCAGCAGAGGAAAAAGAAGATGGGCGGCGCTGGCGTATGTTCAGAATTGGAGAGCAAGACCACAGGGTTGATATGAAGGCCATTGAACCCTATAAAAAAGTTATCAGCCATGGAGGTAAGAGTTGCCAAAGAGTATTCAGATTTTTTAAAGCAACATCGGAAACCTAAATGCTTAAACTCTCCCTTGACATTACATAATTTAAAGCATAATAAACATCATGTCATTTTAGAAACATAACAGGTTTGAAGTAAAAGGATAAAACCAACATTTAAAAATCGTTAATACATGCATACAGTAAGTCCAAAAGCTGTAAATGTGCATTAGAAAATGTCTCTCTCCCACCCCATTCCTAGATCCCTCCCAAAACTAGGACTTTACTTTCTCCCTTTTTTATCCATTTATAATTTATATACAGTGAAATGCTCTAACTCTTTTTTTTGTAACATTTGCAATTTTTTTCCAGCTTCATTGAGATATATTTGACATATAACATTGTATTATAAATTTAAGGTGTACAACCTGATACACATGTATTGCAAAGTGATTACCACCATACCCTTAGCTAACACCTGCATCAGGTCACATAATTACCATTTCTTTTTTGTGGTGAGAACATTTAAAATCTACTCTCTTAGGAAATTTCAAGTATTTAATACAGTATTATTAACTATAATCACTAAACTGTACATTAGATCCCCAGAATTTGTTCATCTTTTAACTAGAAGTTTGTATTATTTGACCAACATCTCCTCTTTTCCCCCAGCTCTTAGTCACCACTGTTCTAGTCTCTGTGTATGAGATTTCGGCTTTTTTAGGTCTGACAAATACCTATATAACCATATATACCTACACCCATAGACATAGAAAACATTTTCATTGCCCCAGAAAATTCTCTAATACTCCTTCCCAACAATTACCTCCTCTCCAATAATCACTATTCTCATGTCTACCCTTATGATTAGTTTTGCTTGTTCTAAAACTTTATGTACCTGGAATCATATAGTGTACACTTGTTGGTCTGCTTTTGCTCAGTCTGAATTTTTTGAGAGATTCATCCATATTGTTGCATGCATCTGTAGTTCATTCCTTTTTATTGCTGAGTGCTATTTCATTGCACGGGTAAACCACAGTTTGCTTATCCATTCTTTTGATGGACATTTTAGTTGTTTCTGGTTTGAACTATTAGAATTAAAACTGCCATGAACATTCTCGTACAGTCTTTAGTGGATATAAGTAAAAGCTGGCTTTTTAAACCAGGATTCTTAATGTGCATTAAAACCCAGAACATATCATTCATCTTTACCACAAAGTAGAAAATTAGTTCATTCCACATTTTTATGCAGTACATACTTTGTATATTTGTGGAATATATAAAAATATAAGGCTTTGTCCCTTAAGAAATTTACAAGTCAAGTAGGTAAAGCTATGAAGTACAATTATAACTTCTCTCAGTCTGAGGATGCTTTATATAGAAGTACACCTAGGCATTGTGTAAATAGCACTAGAATTATTGTAGTAATCAAAATACAACTCACTCTGTGAGCATGTCATTTTACCTGAAATCTTCCTAATGCAGGACAGGGGCCACATAGGTCAAGCAGATTGGTTTTTTCACATAAAGTCATTTCTACTTAATTTATTCTCTGCCAAATACAGTCTCCTGCTTATTTCTGTAGTCTTCATTCATCTGAAAGCAAATCACTTGAATATTTGTAGTTACATTATTCTGCCTAATTTAATCTTATTCAGATGAAAAAAAAAGATAATTTGGATCAGGAAGTCCACAGACAGATTAATTCAGCAGGTTCATAGGAAGCAAGTTGTGAGACGTACCTCATGATTTCAACATAATATTTTTCAGAAATGATACTTTACTTTTCTTAAGGAAAAATAATTAAAGCATTTTATCCTATTGAATTATCATGATACGTTTTGTGACTAAAGGATTAATAAGAAGGGTAATGAAGATTCTAATATACTTGAAATATCTAAACCTTTTCAGTGCATGTTTGTAAATAATAGAAATGAAATTTAAAGCTAAAATATTTGTTATTGGACACAGTCTCTAATACCTAGAGATTGTAATTGAAACATACACATTTTAGCACTGGTTTTCTTCACTTAGAATTATGTCAGAGGTGTGATTTTTTTTCTTTAGTATTAATACCCTAAAATCTACAAAATAGGTATCGTCGAATGTAAAACTACTTTTTAAAAAGCACCCACTTTAAAATTTAAGTGGCATAAAAATGTTTTATTGCAGATAGTATGTTGTGTCTGCTTGGATTATATTACTGTATTTGTCTACTTGCTAAAATAAGTCTGCATTTCTGATTATGCTGGTTTAAATGGGTTTCTAGTTTTTATGCCCACCTTTTCCTCTTCAAATTTCTTTGTTCTCTTGAGAAGAGTGTATTTAAAGATTTAAAAAATATAAATAACTTTGATCCAGAAATTTGTGGAAAGTAAACCATTATACTCTATCAGCCATACAGATGTCCTCTGAAAAATCTTCAGAGTAAAATCATGCTGGTGACTTTATCTTTGGTTTCTTTTTCAGGATATTATGGAGATGGATTAAATGCCATTGTTGTGTTTGCTGTCTGTTTTATGCCTGAAAGTGGTCAACCTAACTATAGATACCTGATGGACAATCTCTTTAAGTAAGTGTATGTTCACAAAAATGTTTAGATAGAATTCTGAGTTAATTGGATGTCCAATTTAAGTAAGTGAACTTTAGCTGGGTAAAAATTATAAATATCACAGTTCTGATTCTTACTAAGAACTTATTCTTTGGTATTATGAAACTATTTGTTTTCCAGCTTGACAGAAAAAAATGTTATTTTAAAACAGGAATGGGCATTTTAGATTATCTGTTCCAACTTCTTTATTTTACATTTGAGGACATGTTAAGTGCAAAGAAGTGATTTTCATCCCAAAATCATACAACTAAATTACCTTTACCCCCAAGAAGCCAAATGTAACTAAGCTGACTCAGTTCTGTTGTATTTTCAGAGTCAAGTTAGTGCAGTTTTTTAAAATTTTATTGTGGAAAATTTCAAACATATCCAAAGGTAGAGAGGTGTATATTGAATCTTTGTGTACTAATCATCCACTTCTACAATTACCAATTTATATTTCATTCCCACAATTTATACTCCACTGTAATTTTAAAGCAAATCCCAGACATTATATCATTTCATCTATAAACATTTCAATATATATTTCTAAGAGATAACTCAGTTTCCTCAATATATATAATTAATTTTAAAAATAAATAAAACATAACCCTTTTTAAAATAGTCATTATACCAACTAATGCTGTGTCAAAATTTTAATTGTTTTTGCTATTGTTGAAGGGAGAGAAAGGAACTGTATAATTTGGATAACCTAGTTTTGTCTTGCAAATCTATATTTAACGCTTAAGTTTAATTTCTTTTTACAGGTATGTTATTGGCACTTTGGAGCTTTTAGTAGCAGAAAACTACATGATAGTTTATTTAAATGGTGCAACAACTCGAAGAAAAATGCCCAGTCTGGGATGGCTTAGGAAATGCTACCAGCAAATTGATCGAAGGTACTGTAAATACAAGTTGAAAGCTAAACTGAATAATTTTTATAATAGCCTTATTAGATTAAATTTTATTTTCTGTTGCCACAGAAAGGCACCTTGTGTCCACTTCCTAGATCACATTTATTATTTTCATTGCAAGTTTCTATTTTTTGAGATAATATTTTAGAATGTTATGAAAGAAATTGGTAGTTTTGATGTTTTTTAAAGAATAACTTGAATTCCTTAAAACAAATACTTAATAGCTCTTTATTTCTCCTTATTTTTACCACATTGAACATTTTCCTATAATTTACAGTTGGGGAAAGGATGGAGAACTTAGTACATTTCTATTTTATTACATTCTGAGTTTTGCCTAATTTATAGTGTTAACACATTTTATGTTATGGTACTTGTTTAACTGTAATCTTTCTTTGGAATGAGTTCTTGAAGTATATTCTCCTTCGAGTTAGTCATCCATGCTAATGAAGGAACTTTGATCCTCCAATTGATTTGACTTGACCATAGCTAATTCAGACTACTTTAATCAGCTCAGACTCATTAATAGGTTTCCCTTCATACCTCACCATGATAATGGCTAGTTCTTGTGATTTAAGAAAATCCTTAATGAGTACTTTATTTAAGTGTGAAATTATGTGTGATAAAAACAGTTTTTATTTGGTCATTTTAAGTTGTCTAGAATAATGCCTTCAGTTTTTAATAAAAGTGTTAGACATCATAAGAATACAAGATCTGATTCATGTTGCCTGTTCCTGTGGTGATCTCCACTCCTACCTTTGCACAGCGCCTTTCATGGTGTTGAAGATATTAGTACCAGTTTGCCCTCACTCCTGAAAAATGAAAATAGTTTACTTCTCTATGCAGTATTGGTCCCTACCATTGGTTGACAGTGCTGAAGACAAGTGAATATATGCTAAGAGACATTTAACAACAGGCTACACATAAATTTAAACAAATGAAGTAAAGTTTATTTTACAGCAGTAAGAATGACCATCACAATTCAAGTGCCAATAGCATACCTGTAAAAAGCATTTTCATGTCTTTAAAGGAATCTCACATTGCACATGTAAATGGGAACTCTTGGATGAGGGATTTCAATTAATTTTGTATATAAACATCCACATACTTATTTAATGTCTTAACTTCTAGCATTGGAATTTGTAGAGCTTTTTAACTTTTTCTTTTACTTCAGGTTACGGAAAAACCTAAAATCTCTAATCATTGTACATCCATCTTGGTTTATCAGAACTCTTCTGGCTGTTACAAGACCATTTATTAGGTAATTTTCTGAGGGCATTGACTTTTTAAGAAAGCAAAAATACAAACTCCCTATATGAATTTCTTGTCAGTTCTGTTGGTCAGAAATATTGAGGTAATTATTTTTATTTTTTTTCATAGCTCAAAATTCAGCCAAAAAATTAGATACGTCTTTAATTTGGCAGAACTAGCGGAACTTGTCCCCATGGAATATGTTGGCATACCAGAATGCATAAAACAGTATGTTTTGTTTTATTTCTTTAATTGTATTGGATCTTATATGTTGATGTGCAAGAGGTAAATATTTTTCAATACTCATTTTTTCTCACTTCGTATGTTATAAATATTTCGTAACTTCTCTTATTTTTGTAACAAAGAAAAAGGGGAAGAAGCCATTTTCCAACACCTTCCCCTTAAGTCACCATTTTCTTCAGGATATCAGTTAAAGAAGTAAGAAGAATTATTTCTGGTTGTGATTCATTTATATTTGTAAAGTCTTGTTACGCTCTAAGAGATGTACTGACCTGATTTTGGTTAATAATACAGAATATTCTCCAGACTTAAGCATGCTGCTCTCCTAATTTGAGTAAGCTCATCATGATGTTGAATAATCATATTACTAGAGAAATAAAATGTAATTTAGATCATCATAACCTTAATACTGTCCAGTGGTGAGAATTTACTCTGTTTACCAAATTCACTTACATCCATCTAATTTTTAAAAGAACTTGGTAGAGGCTGTTAACATAAATACTTGAGTATCACAGTGTTATAATATAGAAAAAAGTTTCTTTGGTCTATTAGTTAATCTGAGGTTTTAATCTGTTTGATGTGTCAAAGCCAGATTTCTTAAGTCAGGTTTGACTTTCTACATTAGTATATTAAATAATTTTGGTTTTGCCTTCAAACTTATATGCATTTCAGTGCCTTTTTTTAAAGTTTTTGTTCATCTTCATAACATGTATATTTACTGAAATAACTCTTCCCTACCAAGGTATGAAGAAGAAAAGTTAAAAAAGAAACAGAAAAGGTATATGCACACCTTGACTGGGTTGCATCTAGACTAGTCCATTTGCATTGCACAGACTAACTCTTCCTTATTGGTTGGTTAGCTTGTAGACAAAGATAATAGCATTTGTAAATATAAATATGCCCCAGAATTCAAATGCAGAGTGAATTCAAAGTTCCTGGTGCTGAACATAGCTTGGATTCACTTTGTTTTAACATTATATGTAATGCCAATTAGGAATTAACGGTCACAGCCCATCTTCCCTCCTTTTTGGTATAAATACTGATGGTAAAACCAGAGAAATTACTAAGAATACTATTTGAAAAACCAATTACTTTGAAGACTTTATCTCTTTCACTGTATTTTTTTAAATCTGTAACTTGGTCTTTTGAAATATTTGAGTGCTTTTTTAAGAAATCAATTTATTTCTCTGGGGTTGATGATTATATTTGCAATGCATGTATTCTTTGGCTAACCAATATTGATTTCTTTGTATGCTTAAGTGGCCTGCTAACCAGTCAAATTCTACATGTGATAAAATACCTAAAAGTTTTAATGTTCCATTTAATAGTTAAACACTCTGCTTTCCATCTTAAATTTAATTTTGAGTACTTCTGCTTTGAGCATAACAAACTATTATCTTTTAATACCTTGGCATAGAAGATGAAAGGCAAGGGTATAAAACAGTTACATTTTATATAGTAATTTTAAAAAGTGTAGGATCTGGATCTAACTTGTTAATGGACTTTTAAAATATTGACAATTAGCAATACAGTTTAATACAATCTTAAGAGTTAAAGTGAGAGATTTATATGTAGTTATCATTTTGACCGTTCTAAGTAACCAGTTCTAAGTAACTAAAACTGGAACATTCTTAACTTTGGACATATTTTAGCTCTGTTGATGAGCAGGAATTCAGTTGACCATGTGATAGAATCATAGCTTACATTTTTAAATGACACTTTACGGTTTAACAAACACTTTTAACTTAGAGATATGGACAGTGACTTTAGATCTTGCTGATTTCTCATTCCTTTCTAGGCATTGGTGTGCATTTGCCAGACAAGTGGCTGAAATTAAAAATATAATCTGTAATTGTAGAACATTTCGAAGCCAGCTGCTTCATGGATTTCAAAATGAATTGCCTTTATTTATGAAATCTGCTACATTGGGCCTTTTACTAAGTTCTTAGTATTTAATTACCTATTAAGTAATTTAATAAGTAATTTAGTAGGACTGTACTTTTTATTGAAATATGTTGTTTGCAACCTAGCACTACTATTTTATCTTTCTTTTTCTTTCTTTTTTTTCTTTTTGTTTAACCCTAAGTAGAACCATTACATTTATCTTCCAGGCACTTCTTAGTTTTTGTACAAAGTTTCTGTAGCCTTAAAAAAAAATTATAAACTTTCGTCAGCTTGAAAATGATAACATTCAAGTTCTGAAAATAGTGGGGCACATTTTTAAAACCAAAAGTTAACAGAGACGACATGGAGAGGAACTTAAGGTGAAATCTTTATGAGTACTGGTGATAAGATAAAAAACCGAGTGTTGAATGAAGTGCAGTGATGCATCACGTAACCACAGGGATGTGTTCTGAGATTAGGTGTCATTAGGTGATTTCTTGGTTGTACAAACATCTTACGAGTGCACTTACACAAACCTAGATGGTATAGCCTAGGCTGTATGGTATAGCCTATTGATCCTAGGCTACAAACCTGTACAGCATGTAACTACTGAATACTGTGGGCAATTATAACACAATGGTAAATGTTTAAGCAATATCTAAACATAGAAAAGATACAGTAAAAATACAGTTTATAAAAGATTTTAAAATGGTACACTCATATAAGGCACTTATCATGAATGGAGCTTGCAGGACTGGAATTTGCTCTGCGTGAGTCAGTGAGTGAATGGTGAGTGAATGCGAAGGACCAGGACATTACTGTACCGTATTGTGTTGCTCTGTGATGTTACAACATCACTAGGCAATGGGAATTTATAATATGGGACCATCACCATATATGCAGTTTGTCATTGATTGAAATGTCATTATGCGGCATATGACTGTCATGACATTTTAATATTTCACTTAACAAAATCATTTTTGAGAGAATTATTCCTGCCACTCTCATCACTTAGATCCCTGCCTCAGCTGTGTTACAATTCAACATTTCTTTCTGTTGTAATTTTAACTTTAATAAAGTTTATATGCATTTCTATGTAAGTGTTTAAAAATCTTTAAAGAAACCACAGTCACATTTCTTGCCAGTGTCCTCTTGACTTTAAAAATTATTTTTTCTGGTTGGGGAAGTGTGTGGTAACCTTTTTACTATGTCTGCTTCTTTGCAAAGCTTTGTTTTTAACAGAATAATATTCTATGCTAAAAATAATCATTATTTTTAGAAAATTGTTCAGTTGCTGGTGTTTTATTATCTATATTTTTTCATTAAACAGAGTTGATCAAGAGCTTAATGGAAAACAAGATGAACCAAAAAGTGAACAGTAAGTTTGGCATCTAGTCCAAACAAGATTGAAGAATGTGCTGATGAAGCAATGCTCTTTTTTGCATTTATAATGCATTTATTAGCCCTGATTTTTATGTAACCTGTTACAAAATTGACTTGACTTTTTAATGGACTTTTGTATAAGAGACTGTTCACTGCTGTATTGGTTTGCAAATCTCTTGAATTTAGCTATTAACTAGCCAATTGTAATCATTTTATATTTTATATTGCTAAAAGCAAAGAACCACACTTTATATAAAGCAGTTTTTGCATATGTTTATTGAATGATGCGTCTTCTTCAGTAAAATATTTATATGCCTAAATGGTAAAGGAGAGAGATAATATATATTTTTATGTTTTGAGCAATTTTTTAATGTATACCTATCTTGTGGAAAAATATGCAAGTAAATAAGACCATGATTTTATAAAGTGCATGTTAGAATTTTTGCATTTTGTATATGGTTAACTACATTTCCTGGGTAACTTAAAAAATAAAGTGGCTCATAAGGTGAGGGACAGTTAAACTGGTTGTCATGAATACCCAAAGGTCATGTACATAATCTAAGTAGATTAGTACCATCCTAAGCATTTTTTTATCACTTAATGTATATTGTTACTTAATTCAGAAGCACAGATACAAGTGTATTGCACACTTTTCCCTTTATAAACTTACAGATAAGTCAGAAAAGTCATTTTTAAAACTAGAGAATATAAGAGAGTAAGAATTAGGGTTTGTATATATATGTATATATGGGACATTTTGTCTCCTGGTCAAAAGTCAGAACTTTATAAAAATCTTAGGTTTGTTCACTAATGTGAAATAAGCTGTGTCCAGGGTATCACTCTCCTGAATTTGTATGAGTGCAGTGTAGTCAGAGAATGTGATGAGTTATTCACTGTCAATAGTGTTCTCTGGAAAACAGGAGCTGCTTTTTTTAACTGCTCTCATTGTGAGCACTTTACCAAAATACTTCCATATCAGTTATTTCAACTTGATAGGTGTTTCACCTAGTCAACTATGGTGTGTTTTCACATTTTCTGTTGAATCGTATTGACAGTACTGTAAATTATTTTATAAGTCTTAGAGTATCATTATTACACTGTTTTGGATGACACATTTGATATAAGCATATAAACTCCTTAATTTGGTAAATACCTTGACTCTACATTGAAATAAATTGTACTTATGCCCCCAAAGAGAACTTAATTTACCCACAAAACCATCCTAAAACAGCAGGTCGGTCTAATAGTGTGTCATGTACTCGTGTGACTCATACATTTGGTAAAATTAGTACCTTCCTAATTTGAGGGTCAGACCATACTCCAGCCCTTCCTATAAGGTAATTTAAAAACGTGTCCTAGAGTAGCACAATTGAAGTGAATAAGAGCTAAGCTTTTAAGATTTATTCTATCCTAAACTGAACATACATGTTGCTTTAAGCATTGCCAATTTTAGCACAAAGTTTCTATCGTGAAAGATTTTTCCTTTATTTTTTGTCCTCCTCAGTCATAAACTTGGCATGCTAACTTAAGTCCAATTATGGGAGGTGTTGGAGGGTTCCCAGGTTGAGACTTTCCTCCGCAGCCTCCTTACTTGACTTGGATCCAGCAACTGTAGGCAGATCCTGAACTAATCTCATAGTGAATAAAGTCAAAACCATTATTGCTTAAATGTTAGAAACACTTTGTACTGAACAAGCAAACTAACAATAACTTAGACATTCCTTCTAATTTGACCAGATGAAGATTATGAATTAAAGGATCATTGGATTTAATTATGATTAGAGTCTATATTTTAGAGCACTTTAAGTAGCCTTTTATCTGTAAGTCTTCATCTCCCTCAAAATAGGCTGAGCTTTTTAATCGTGGTTTTCTTTGTTTCTTCAGTTTCAACACTTTTTTGGGTTTATTGACCTTTCCTTGTGCAAGCATTGTTCCCAACTACAGATACAACTTGTTACGAAAGTGGCGTGTTTTCCTTAATACTTTTTTAAAGTAGAAGTAGCCTGCATTCTATTAAAACATTAAAATTCATATGGAATAGTAATAACACTTGGGATATAACGAAAGGATGCGCTACTCTAACCTACACCTTAATGGAATCTGGTATAGGGATTTGCCCCATAATAAATGTTTCATAATTATGGGACTTAAGATCATAACGTAGATTAGAGGGAAAGCATTTATTTAAGTTTGTTATTTGTAATTTGTATTGTAACATTTTCCCCATACCATTCAGTTTTAATTTTTTACTACTGATTGAGGTGAAAGTACTTACAACTGTATTTTATCTTTCTGCTGGGGTCATAGATCCAACTTAACTGATTTAATTTGATGCATCTTTCATTTTTTGTTATACTTGGGCTCTGAGTGCCTCTTTTTAGTCAGAAGTTTCTCATATAAAGTAATTTAAAGTAATTTGATTGTATTCTGCTTGGTCATATTCCTGAAAAGTACCAAGGAAAGATGCTATATTGACCTCACAGTTTAAACTTAATAGTCTTTATTAGTAAACATGATTAGTAAATATGATTGAGTAATAAATATGTTTCTAAGTAGAACCTAGCAAGCAATTGGAAAGGAAGTAAGAGGAAAAACTACAAAAGGGAAAGAATTAACTGTTACCTAAGATCCCACTGAATGAGTCCCTGTTAAGGGGAGTACTGTGTATGACAGACTTTGGTACCATTTCTCGTATCCAGCGGGAAAACCTGCAGGCTACACACAGAATATGTGAATAAGGAGACTACAGAATGAAGCGGGGAAAGGGTGATAATACCTAGAATGAGAATTTCTAATTTCTTCTGCTTTATCACTTCATATAGAAGCAAGTTGGAACAGAGAGGGTAAGCATTTACAGTACTCGGATTAAAGTTTAGAACTAGGTTATTTTGTAGTTTTCCAAAATGGACATCACTATTTAGTAACTGCACTGAATACCAAAATTTGCTGATTGACAAGTATAGGTAGAATTTCTTCAACTGCTATTCCAGAGTTTAACAAGGTAAGGGATCTGATTTTTTGGTAGAGACTTTGTAAATGAGTATATACAGCAATACTATTTTGCTGTTCTTATGTGTGTGCTCAGGGAATTTGAAAGTGATTTAATGTAGGAATTGGCTTTTTAGATTTCTTCAGTTGATAAATTAGTATTAGGACATATCAGGCAAGACAGGCTAGTTTCCTGATGAAATTGGTTAGGTTGTATATAAGATTACAGTAGCTTATCCTTCCTTTTCCCATGTTATATATGGAAAATTGCTAACAGTGCTCAATCAGAAGGGAGTAGGGGATAGGCTGAAAATTGAGCTTGCTACCCCATTCTCATTGTTTTCATGCCTATATTTTTCCCATCATATAGTTTTTTGAGAAATGGATCACAAATATCAAAGGAATGGGATAGGTAGAGGAATTAATGTGCTTATAAGTTAAACCAACTATTCTGTTAGAATTTTTGACATAGGGAACAGGAATTGTGTAATTTTGAGTTGCTAGGAGAGAGTCAAGAATTTAGACTTACATAGGAAGGTCAGCTGGTTAGGGAAGTGGGAGATTATTAATGTTCTAAAGTACAGAGGAATTACCTAGGGAGCTTTTCACTCCTCTTCCCGTCCCAAGATTTGGAATGTATTAGAGTCAAATTGATGGTGAGTCCTTGTAGTGTAACTTTCTTTTAAAGTTCTAAATAGTAATTGAATATAAAGTAATGTGTTGAACAGTAAAGAGTGACACTAAAATGTGACACTGAATGGAACTGTTACTTCGTTGGAACTGTATATGATAGAACTACTTAATTTCTTATGTTTTGAGAACTAAAAATTTCCATGAAAAGTTCACATAAAGCACTTAATTACAAATTAGATACCAAGTGAAAAGCAAGGGTTTAATGCTTTCAAATTAATAGAGAATTATATTAAGCTGTTTTCTTCAGATAGCTGTTTGATTCTAAGACATTCTACAAAAGGTTTAAAATATTTGCATTTTGAAATTTTTGTTTTTATATTCAGTGTGACTAAGGAGGAACTTGGAAATTATTAGCTACTCCACTTGCACTTTTTGTATATGGAATTTTTGAAGTTCTGCACCTTAAACAATTATTTACATAAACTGAGCTAGTAAACATCGGTGGTGTTCAGGGCCACCGACTTCCACAGCCCTTGGGGCATCATTCAAATAGAACACAATTCAGAGTTTGTTAGATACTAACGCACTTTGATATATATTTCAAAAATTCAAATATTTTCCTTACCATTGGTTCACATGTTGCCATTTAGAAAAAATTAATGTACTGTGATCATTTTACTAGTATTCAAATGATGTTGCCTAGCCTAGTGCTGTCATTTTACAGTGTGAGAAATTCAGTTCTGATGACTGTGCAAGACGTTGATGTGGTCCCTGTAATAAATACTAAGGTTGTCTTGATTTACTAAGGAGATGTAATATTTTGTTTTCCTTCTGACTTGTTAGGAATACAATAATTTGTGTCCTGATCTGTTGCATATCATATTTTTGCAACATTAATGAATTTAAATAAATTAATTGGAAAGTTTGTATTTGACTCATTTTATCACATTTTTTCTATCCGTAATGCTGCTAGATTTTTACACTGAGTTATCTTGTAAACCTTTCAGTTTTAGACCTTTACTCTTGTTTCTCTTTCTATAATCTGGATGCTGCTTCCTATTGTTCATGGGGGTGAAGGGTTCGCCTAGTTCAGTTTCAAATATTATTTTAACTATAACCAAACTTTGTGTTACATAATTTAGAATTATTTTCGTGGAGAATCCAACGATGAAATTAGTTCAATAGGGCGATGAAAACATGGCATAAATAACTTGTTAACCTGCTTGGAGGTTCCACCAGCACTTGTTTTTGCATTTACTTCTTAATCACTATTTAGCTACTTAAGGGCGCACAGCTGTGCCATTAAGCGATTTTTATATAGAGAAATATTTGCCTTGCGTTAGGTGCAAGTGTTAAATATGCATTTTCCTAAATTAAAATTCTTCATGAATCACTAACTAAAAGCTTGCTGGACTAATGAATTGCAGCACTGTTTTGAATGGTAAATACCTGCTGTAATCTTTTCAGAATATGTCTTCAATTTAGCAGTGCAAGATCTTCAACAGTATTACACCTCAGGCGTAATACGTGACTGTCTTGCATTTCGTAGTTGTGCATCTTATAGTGGAGAGTAGTCTCTAAAAATTATAATTCCCTTATTACTCGAAAAGTTAACTTGTTCTAGGGCTTGAAAACTGCGGCTCCACGCCCATATCTCCCAAACCCCGCCCTCCCCTCGGACAATTTGAGTGGCGTGCGGGCGCAGGTAGTGGGCGGGGTCTCTCGGCGCCCTGTGTGACGTCACTTCCAACTTCTGCGAACACTTCCGGGTCGTTGGCCAAGCTCTGCTGTTTGGCCAAGCGCGGCGGCGTAAGAGGTAACTAGGTACGTCCTGCTGCGCTCCCGGCTGTGCTGCTGCTGTTTGTTACGCCGGAGGGAAGCGCCTTACCCACAGGTACGGGTGAGCGGTAGGTTGGGTCTTCGAGGGCCGCATGGAAGGCGAGGCCCTTCCCTCCAGGGGCCCAGGGTCATCCCGTTACCGACTTCGCTGCCGGATGGCCCAGCGGCTGGTACCCAGGAAGGAAAGGGAGGCGGCGGGAACGGTGGCGTCTTGTGGCGGGAGGTTGTGGTCCACCGGTGGCCTACTAAACGGTCCTAGGGGGTGGGCCGAATTTTCAGCCAGGTGAATGTCCAAAAGCACCCAGGGCTGGGAGGTAGCGGGGATTGCGGAATATCCGGGGAGCTCATTCCTTGTGTGTCTCATTCTTGTGTTGTTTCACTTGTTTGAAGTCCGCCTTTCAGCTTAGTGCGAACTCCGACAGAATGAGTTTAACTGCATGGTTTGATTAAAAAGGACGAGGACTTTGAGTTACTTAGGAATGTGGAGCTTTCTCATTTTCTAAACTGCAAAATAAAAGAGTACTGGATTTATATGGCTGATAACACATCTAAAAGATTTGAACATTTTAGAAGTAATTTTTAAGAATCTAAGATCATTAAAGCAAGTAATATTAACAAACATTTAAGTAGCATGGCTTTTTAAAATTTTTATTGAGGTGTAATAGACACAAAATTTTATTTTAATAATTCACTATTGATATACATTGCGAAATAATACTCCCTATAGTTACATCTTATTTTCCTTTTTTTCCTTGTGATGTGGGCTTTTAAAATCTCTCAGCAATTTTCAAATATGCAATACAATATTATTAATTACAATCACCATGCTATATATTATATCCCCAGGAGTTATTTTATAATTGGAAGTTTGTACTTTTTGACACTGCCTCTCTCCCAAACACCAATCTGCGCTCTGTATCTGATCTGTTTTTGTTTTTGTTTTTGTTTTCCACTTATAAATGAGATCATATAGTATTTGTCTTATTTCACTCAAAATAATGCCCTCAAGGTTTATCCTTGTTGTTGTGAATGACAAGGCTTTTTTCTTATTTTAGGTCTGAATAGTGAGTATTCCATTGTATGTACAGCAGGACATTGAATGACGTTTCCTTAAAATGTTGATGAGAAAAAAGTTGATTTCCCATGAGGGCCACTATCTGTGGGGAGTTTGCACGTTCTCCCCATGTTTGTGTGGGTTTTCTCCAGGTGCTCCGGTTTCTTCCCACACCCCAGAAATGTGGACGTTAGATAAATTGGCATGTCTGCATTGTCCTAGTCTGAGTGAATGTGGGTGTGAGTACTTCTGTGAAGGAAGGGTTCCTGTCCAGAGTTGATTCCCACGTTGTACCCTGAGCTGCTGGGATTGGCTCCAGCCACTTGTGATCCTGAACTGGAATAAGTGGGTTGGAGAATAATGATCTTGCTTTTATTACTCTTTGTTAAATGTATGTGTATCTCACACTTATTTCAGTGTTTAATATTAGAAGTGTTGGGGTCTTTATTTAGAAGTGTGGTGATGTTTTTGTTAAAAGAAAAATGCCATAGGAACTTAACTCTTGTTCATACCAGTTAGGCTATGATAAAATTGGTTTCATCATAGATCCTTTCGCTTAAAGTCACAGTTTCCAAGAACCTAATGACAGTGTTAAGTGAGGACTTACGTTTATACCACATCATCTTCCTTACCCATTTATCCCTTGATGGACACAAGATGCTTCTATATCTTGGCTATTGTAAATAATGCTGGAACAAACATGTCGATGTAGATATCTTTTTGAGATAGTGTTTTTTCTTCAGATAAATACCCAGAGGTGGAATTGCTGGGTCATATGGTAGTTCTAGTTTTTTGTTTTTGTTTTTAGGGATTTTGGGAGGGTTTTTTTTTTTTTTTTCTTTTGACTAACTTCCATACTGTTTTCTATAGTGGTTGCACCATTTGACATTCCCAGTGCACAAGGCTTCCCTTCTTTCCACATCCTCACCACACGTGTTATTTCTTGTCTTTTTGATAATATTTTCATAGGTGTGAAGTGTTATCTCATTATGGTTTTGATTTGCACTTGCCTGACAGCTAGCAATATTGAACATCTTTTGATATACTAGTTGGCCATCTGTATGTCTTTGGAAAAAAATTGAGATCCTCTGCTCATTTTTTTAATCAAGTTGTTTGTTTGTTTGTTTTTTTTTTTGCTATTGAGTTGTATGAGTTTATGTGTTTTGGATATAACCCCTTATCAAATATATGATTTCCAAATATTTTCTTCTATTCAGTAGGCTGCCTTTTAATTTTGTGGAGTACTTCCTTTGCTGTACAGAAGTTCTTTAGTATGATGTAGTACGTAGTCCCATTTATTTTCGCTTTTGTTGCCTTTGCTTTTGGAGTCAGATCCAAAAAGTCCTTGCTGAGACCAGTGTCAAGCAGCTTACTGCCCATGTTTTCTTCTAAGAGTTTTATAGTTTCAGGTCTTACATCTATTTTTTAAATCTGTTTTGAGTTTATTTTGGTATGTGGTGTAAGAGTGTGATCCATTTTCATTCTTTTGCATGTATCTGTCCAGTTTTCCCAGCACCATTAATTGAAGAGACTAGCTTTGCCCCTATTGTGTATTCTTGCCTCCTTTGTAATATAGTAATTGTTCATATAGCATGGGTTTATTTCTTGGTTCTCTGTTCTGTTCCACTGATCTGTGTGTCTGTTTTTGCACCAGTGCCATGCTGTTTTGATTACTTTGCAGTATAATTTCAGATCAGGTAGTATGATGTCTTCAACTTTGTTCTTCTTTCTCAAGATTGCTTTAGCTATTTGGGGACCTTTTGTGATTCCAAATAAATTTTAGGATTATTTGTTCTAGTTCTGTGAAAAATGCCATTGGTGTTTTGATTGGAATTGCATTGAATCTATAGATTGCTTTGGATAGTATGGACATTTTAACGATATTACTTCTTCCTGTTCATGTGTACAGTATGTGCTTCCATTTATTTGTATCTTCAGTTTCTTTTTTCAGTGTCATAGTTTTTGAGTACAGGTCTCTTACCTCCATATTTATTCCTAGATATTTTATTCCTTTAGATGCAATTGTAAATGGGTTGGTTTTCTAATGTCTCTCTCTCTTGATAATTTGTTATTGGTGTATAAAAATGCAACTGATTTCTGAATATTTTGTATCTTGCTACTTTACTGAATGCATTTATTAGTTTTAATAGTTTTTTGGTGGATACTGTAGCATTCTATATATATAGTATTATGTCATCTGTAAATAATGACAGTTTTACTTCTTCCTTTCCAATTCAGATGCCTTATTTTTCTTGTCGATTGCTATGGTATGGCTAGGACTTTTAATACTGTGTTGAATAAAAGTGGTGAAAGTGGACATCCTTGTCTTGTTCCTGATCTTAATGAAAAAGCTTTCGGCTTTTCACTGTTGAGTGTTAGCTGTGAGTTTGTCATATATTACCTTTATGTTGAGGTATGTTCCCATTTTCCCCTTTGCTGAGTTTTTATCACAAATAAATGTTAGATTTTGTCAAATTTTTTTTCTGCATTTATTGATATGATCATATGATTTTTATCCTTCATTTTGTGTTTATGGTGTACCACATCAGTTGATTTATGGATTTTGAACCAGCCTGCATTTCAGAATAAATCCTACTTGATCATAATGTATGATCTTTCAAATGTATTATTGAATTCAGCTAATATTTTGTTGAGGAGTTTTGCATCTGTGTTCATCAAGGATGTAGGCCTATAATTTTCTGTTTTTTGTAGTATCTGTCTGGTTTTTGTACAAAAGGTAGTATGGACATTTTAACCATATTAGTTCTTCCAATCCATAAGCATGGAATATCTTTGTGTTCTTCAATTTCTTTGATCAACGTCTTATAGTTTTCAATGTACAGGTCTTTTACCTCCTCAGTTAAATTTATTCCTAGGTATTTTGTTGTTGTTGTTGCAATTGTAAATGGTATTTTCTTAAATTATCTGATAGTTCATTATTAACTTACAGCTATTTTAAATAACTCTTAGACTTTTATCAATTGGACGTAACACAAGATTCTGTACTCCTGCTTTTTCAAGATTATATTGCCTTATTGGGACCTCTTCTTGCCTTTTTAATCTCCTTCCCCACCACACACATTATACTTACTGATTTTTTGCCTTCATTCATTTATTGAACAAATAGTTGGCTCTTATGTATCATACACTGTTCTAGATGCATGATTTACTTCAGTGAACAAAACAGACAAAAGTTCCTGCTTTGGGTGAACTTACATTTTATAAGTTCCTGCTTTGGGTGAACTTACATTTTATAAATTAGAAAGTGATGGCCATAAATTAACATAGCAAGATAAGGGAGATTGGCAAGTTCCAGAGTGGAAGTGGGAGTTTGTATTTTAAATATGGCAGTCAATGTAGGTCTCATTAAGAACATGATATACTCAAAGGAATTAAGAGAACCAAGTGGATATTTGGGGGGAAGAGTTTTTCAGGTAGTAACAATAGCGTTTACAAAGGCTTCCATAGGCTGGAACATGTCCACCGTAGCCTATAAATAACAAAGAAGCCCGTGTGTTTGGAGAAGGGCAAGAGCAATGGAAAGATGGTCGATAAATTGAGAGATAACAGGTAGCCAGATTATTGTAAAAACTCATGAAATGGAAGGCATGGGAGGTTTTGAGCAGAGAAGAGTTATGTTCTAACCTATGTTTTAAAAGGTCAGCTCACGGCTGACTTGGAGTTAGAGTGTAGGGGGCAAGCATGGAAGCAAGGAAGCTGGTTAGGAAGATATTTCAGCAATCGAAATGACAGATGTTAGTGGCACAGACCAGGGTGCTAACAGTGGAGATGGCAAAAAATGATTGGATTCTGAATGCATTTTGAAGGTAGAGTTTAGAGGATTTGCTAGGGATTGGATGTTGAGGTAAGGTTGGGGGTAAGGAGATAACATCAAAAGTTTTTTGCCTAATTCATAGAAGTATGGAGTTCTATCAACTGCTATGGGAAAGACAACAAGCAGAGATGCTGAGTAGGCCGTTGGATCCTGTTGGATCCAGGAGTGAATTCAGAGGAGAGATCTGTGCTAGTATATGAATGGGAATTATCAGCAATGGTATTTAAAGCCATGAGACTGAATGTTATCACTAAGGAATGAACAGCAGCAGAGAACCAAGGATGGTTTCTTGTGACATTAAGTTTTTAGAGAGAAGAGGATCAAGCAAGAAACAATATTAAGAAGGATGAACCAGTGAGTTTAAGAGAACAACCCAAAAAGTGTGGTCCCAGAAGCTAAGCCAAGATCTTTTATCAAAGAAGGAGAGTAATCACTGTGTCAAATGCTTAAATCTGGTGAATACTGAGAATTGAGAATTAACTCTGGCAAAGCCATTGATGACCATCGGGATCTGTGTCATTTGAGTACTGGAGGTAAAAGCCTATGAGGGGTGAGTGAAAGAGAAAATGGGAGAAAAGGAAGGAGAGACTGAGTACAGACAACTCTTATAAGTTTTGCTGCAAAGAGGAAATGAGAAATAAGAGTATTGCTAGTGAGGGAAGTTGGTTGAGACTTTTTTTAAAAGATGTGAGAAGTACCCACCTGTTTGCTAATGGGACTGATCCATAGAGGTGGGAAATTTGATGGTGAGGGAGAGAAGGAATACTTACATTTTTGGAACAATATCCTTGAGTTTACTAGAGAGGATAGGACCTGATGCACAGATAGAAGGACCGTATTTAGGTAACAGCATAGATAGTGCAACTATTAGTGACAACTATTAGGTAGGCAAGATATATGGGTATAGGTATTGGTAGGTGGATAGATGAAGTTTTCAGAGTCTGGAAATTTTCATTGCTTCAGTTTTCTCAGTAAAGTAGAAATCTTTATATTACACTCAGATACATTTACAATATTTGATAGCAGCATTTTCACATACCACCAAGTTACTTATTCAGACCACAAATTTGTTGAATACATACTGCATACTAGGCATTGTTCTAAATGATAAATATATAACTTCATGGAAAATATTTTAGTGGATAGAAACAGTAAGCATATATTTGTCAAGTTAATGATATGAATGCGAATAAAGTGTAAGGGGAAGGGAGATAGTTATTTTGTATAGGTTGGTCACAGAAGACTTTTCTGATGAAGCAACATTTGAGCAGACATCTGAATCACATGAGGGAGTGAGCCATGCAGACATCTGAGAAGAATATTCAAAGCAAAAGAAACAGCCAGTGCAAAGGCCCTAAAGCAAGAACATCTTGCCATATTGAACAGCAAGGGGCCAGTCTGGAGCAGAATGAAGGAAGGAGTAAGTGGAAGAAACGTTCATAGAGGTGGTTGGAGTAATCCATTAGAAGAACTTTTTAATTCTGAGATAGGATGCTGGCATTGGAGGTTTTGGAGAACTGAGGGTGGGATCCCACAAGTCAAAAGAAAAGCCTTCAAGAAGCTAAAAATGATCTAGTATGTCAAAGGCTCACAAGCTGTATAACTGACCTGAGTTTTATTTTTCCTGAGTTTTACCTGATAATTACTCCTTGAATATATCTCCTTCTGTCTCTCTCTAAACTGAAAGTGCCATGAGGTCAGGGACGATATACCAGACGTGCAGTAGAAGCCCAGTAAGTATTAAATCTGTACTACTGCCACCCTCTTGGAGTGCCCATCTCTTTCTAATCTTGCACTCAAGTACATTTTTCATATGGCTGCTAGTTTGTCTGACCTTTCCTGCCTAGAATGCTTCAGTGGCTCCCATTACCCGTGCTATAAAATGCTGCACCTCTCCTGATGGAACAAGTCCATTCATGCCATCTTTTCAGTCTCATCTCTTACCACTTCCTATTCATACTTAGACCCTAATAATATATAACAATTTATAGATCTCACAAACTATTATTTCATCCTTCTATGTCTTTATTTATTCTATTCTTTCAGCCTAGGATGACTTCCTTCCTTCCTTGCTTGGCTGAAGTCTAGCTTGAAGAATCAGGAAGCTTTTGCAAGTTAACTCATGCAGTCCACAGTCAGCCTCCATAGTACACTGTATATCCCTATCAGTTCTTATTCTTTATTGAATTTAACTTTTTTTGTATGTCTGTAACCCTCCCTAGAGTATAATTTTTTTAGGGTCAGCCGTGTACATATTTGTCTTCCTTTCACTGGTACCTATCACAGTGCTATCTTCTTGGTAGGTACTTTATAAATATTAAATTTTAAGAGAACAGGAAAATAAAGGGAAAGGCCTTCAAACTTGAGCTGAAGATTGTCTGAATCAGTGACTTGGCAGTAAGTAGAAAGGAATGATACATGGTAAATTCTAGGCTAGAAGGTAAGACAAACTTGAAAGCAGCGGTGAAGAAATACATTTGAATAAATACAACATCTATACTTTGTATAAAGGAATATAAATGCTTGTCAAATAACAAAATTAGAAAACATTTTAACTTTCTTGTAATTCTAAAATTACATAGTAATTTGCAATTACTAAGAGTTCTGCTGGTATATATTAGAATATATGAAGTAAACTATTATATACATTCTTTATAATGTTTTCTTTTATTATTAAAATTTTAGGACATCAATGCAAGACTGAGTGAGAAAAACAGTTTTTTCCTCCTAAACCATGGCATATCAATTATATAGAAATACTACTTTGGGAAACAGTCTTCAGGAAAGCCTTGATGAGCTCATACAGGTAGGAGACTAAAAGTCAACATTTTTATTTCAATAGGTCTATAATAATTCTTGTTAAATTCCTTATCCCGGGCAAAGAAGTTAAATATCTTAGACTATTTGACCCAGTATTCATATTGATAATCTCAAATTCCTATGCATTTTACCATCCCGACTATGGGGTATAAAATACAATGATGATTGAATGATATGGTTAGATATATCTACATTGTCAAAGATTTTTGTTAAAGATTAGTGTTGGTTTTCTCATATATGAGAAAGTCATATTCTATCTAGCTTTAAGATAATTTTGAACAATTTCATAGCTTTGAGATTTGAATTAGAATTTATATTTCAATTTTAGGACAACCTTTTCATGTGAACTTTATCTAAGAACACATTATTTCCACTTGTTTTCATACAGTTAGTGAGCTGTAATAAGGTTTATTATATTTTTAAAAATATATGATTAGTCCTGTTTTTTATTTAAAAGAAACTTGGTTTCTTTAATTTATCAAATATCTTTTTCCAGACTATATGAAGGAATGATAGAGACAAAGTTTTGTCCAGGCATTGTACATTACTGCATGTTTTCTTTTCAAAATTATGTTTGTGTCAAGATAGTACAAGAAAATACTGTAGTCTTTGCTTCTTGTTATGGCAAAGGAAAATAATGGTTTCTAGTTTAGAGGCTCTAGTTAGCCTCAGTTAAATTAAATTTTTGATAATTCATATTTTTATTTTGTCTTTAATGCTCTTCTGATTTATGACCTTTACTTTTTCTCAGTCTCAACAGATCACCCCCCAACTTGCCCTTCAAGTTCTACTTCAGTTTGATAAGGCTATAAATGCAGCATTGGCTCAGAGGGTCAGGAACAGAGTGAATTTCAGGGTAAGGATATTTTCCTAAGCCTAGAAGCCTGCAGTAATGGTTGTTTTATCAGTATTTTAGTCATAAAAGGAAAAGATGGCTTTAATCAAATTTTGGAACATGTTTTATAAGAACTAAATTATACTCTAAGTGACCTAGAAACTAAGTTCATCCACTTAATATGATAGTTCTATTTAGATTTTTATTCCATTGTTTCACAAATCAGCCTATGTATATTTATCTACCTTCCCTGAAGAATTACTGAGATTTCAAACAGCTGAAACATTATCTGCAGGTATGCAGGTAAGTGACAGAGTACGGTTCATATATGTTTTTCAAACTCTGACTGTCACCAATTCCGGGAAGTAAGGAGTTACCTCTAGAAATTTCATTTTGCCTCCCACCTGCTCTTAGATAACATGGCTTTTAAAGACCTGGACTGGTGGTAGATAGCAGTCTGTTCTGATAGCTTGGTCTCATTTAAGTCATTTATACTTTGAGCAGTAATCCCAAACTGAACAAAATTATCTTTCTCATTTTGATGATAATTCAGATTAAAGGCCCATTGAAAGAATCATGGTGATTAGAAAGAATTTTACTTTATGATACTTGTGAAGTCATAGTATATATTATGTGGTTATATTTAATATTTATGCATAGTCGTAAAGTAGAAATTAAAAGTGTAAAGTATAGAAATCAATATATGAAAAGAACATAGAGGTTAATTTCATTTAAGAGAACCTCAGTGTTTGAGGGTTTTGGTTTTTGTTCATGATGAAAACATGAAAGAAAATTTTATTTATTCAATGGACATTTTTTTTCAGTTTCTATTATATACCAGGCATTGTTCTGGATGTTGGGTATTCAGATACAAAGCCCCATTTGACTTATACTTTAGTGAAGGGATAAATCTGCATGTATTTTATATTCCTATAAATAAGTATCTTACCAGTTTCACATGCCTAAGCATTATAAGAAGTAAAGTGTATTTTTAAAACTAAAATTTTATCAGTGGATTCTTGAATTTTTAATTAATTTGCTTTTGTTTTTAAATAACCATACATGAAATCTGCCCAGTTTGTCATTCAAAACCCGATCTTTTAATTCTAAATTGACCCATGTTAATAAACTTTTGCCCATTTAGAAAATTTCATTTCTTATAAGTTTGTTTTCCAAAAGCTATAAATACTCAGATTTTGACCTGATTTTACTTTTCTGTTGTTGCTTTTTCTTTTGTGACTGCTCTAGCTCAGGCTTTCACTTACCCGCCTTACGGCAAATTTGATAAAATTTAAGTCTAGAATGTTTGCAAATAGCCTTCTATTTTTTTAGCTTGGAGGGGCAAAGGCAAAAGAAATAATACATTGGTAATATCTAATTTTCAAAGTCATATTGCTAGATCACATTTAAATACATATTTTTTATTTATAATTTTTACTGGCCTAGCAATAAGATTAGGACTTTTTAAAAAATCTTGTATAACATGCTAAATTGTTTTGTTCTAAATTCTCATGAATTCCCTATAACTGAGATCATTTAGTAGAAAGAATGTCATAAGGGAAAAAAAATCTCAAGTATGAGAGCTAAAGTTTCAATAATTTATATGTTGAAATTTATTAGTAAAAAAGTTCAAAATGTATTTACCAAGAAACTTGAACTGAATTAATTTTGAAAGAGAAAATTCAGATTGAATTATAGTACTAAAACTTCATATAGTAATTGAGTATTAAAATATTTAATGACACATTCTGTTCTCTGAAGCTTACTACCATATTCCAAGTGTTTGTCTTCATCCCCCCTCTCCCTTGACTGTTATTCATTCTTCAGGATTCCAACTTGCCTTTGGAAGAGAAGCTTTCTCTCTACCCTCTGTCTTTCATACCCTTGGGTGGCTCTCCTATACTCCCCATTCTATCCAGTAACTTTATCGTAGCAGTGTTTGCTTGTTTTAATGAGCTCCCCCTGCTAAGCTAGGCTTATTGATGGCAGTATCACTTACCATTGTGTGCTCATTAAATTCATTCATAGCTATCTAATTATTCTCACTTGATAGAACATTTAGGTAGAATCCAGTTTTTACTTTTACGCTGCAGGGAACATTTTTGTACAGATGCTTTTTTTGTGAATTGAAGGTTTTAGGCATATAAATGTCAAATACCAGATTTCATATGTGAATATGTGTGTGTCTATCTCAGGTTTTTATTGTATTCTGTTAGCATCTATACTTGCACTTTCACCACACTCTTCAAAATTTTCCACTTAATGTTCAAGGACATATTCCTACTCCTAAAAACAAAATATCAACTAAAAACTTTAATTAGAAGAATGTCACACAGGACAATAATATTATAGTCTTAGTAGCTAATATAGTAATTCACCTGAGCTATGTCACAGGCTTAAAATTAATGTGTCTAGAAAATCGTTGGTTTTGTACAACTGCACAGAATTAATGTACACAATAATATGTTTTCTTAGTGTTTACGTAAAAAATCAAATGAACGTTCATAATTTAGCCACATGAGGGCAGTAAAAATACAAATTTCCATTCAGATTTCAGGTAATTTGTAAACTCTTACAGTGCTGAAAACTTTTAACTCTTCCCTTAGCGAATTTATCTAGAGATGTTTTTTCTGTTAGAATGAAAATTAAGGAAAATCTTAAGCAAGCTAAATATTAAATAATCATACTATTTTAAGAATGATGTACTTGGTGGCTAAGTTGTCTTAAATTGCTTTGGAGAAAAATGTGAGGAAAAATTACTTCATCTTATGTCTAAATGTTTTGTTTTAAAGGGCTCTCTAAATACGTACAGATTCTGCGATAATGTGTGGACTTTTGTATTGAATGATGTTGAATTCAGAGAGGTCACAGAACTTATTAAAGTGGATAAAGTGAAAATTGTAGCCTGTGATGGTAAAAGTAAGTGTTCGCCTAATTACTGTGAAATCAGAGCCACTTGAAATGTTTTTATGAGTCTTTCAAAAAGTTTCTATGAGTCTTTTGAAAATCTTCATCTGAAATTAAGGTGGAAAATGGCCAGTCGACCCACTCCAAGATAGGTTCCTGAATTCCAGATCTCAAACAGGCTACTTACTGACTTTAGTATAAATATTTCATATGACACATAGACTACTTCCACAGATTGAATTTGTGTGGGGGGTGGGGAAATTTCAATTGCAAATTTGAAGGGTTTATCAGGCTTTTTCACAACTACCTTTTTTGTTAAGAAAGTCTTTAATTTTGACAATTTATCCTATGGTTTCTGTGTTTCTAGATACCTGTACATTTAATATTTAAAAAGTGATTATTTAAGATTTTAATTAACCAAAAGAACCTTATCAGTCATAATAGTAAATATCTGTTCCATCTGTATAGGTGTGTTTTCCACAGCATACCGAGGAACTCATTCAGGTCCTTAAATGTTTCAAAACTGTACATCTTTGCTTTCTGTTCTAGATTAGTTATTTCTATTTTTCAATTATATCTTAAATATATACTTACTTTTCCTTTGTGATCAGAACCATTTCCATTTAAGGAAACTGTTCCTGAAATTAAATAGAGAAGACTGTCACTGTCCAAGAAGGGGAATTTTGAAAAGCAAGAGAAACGTAGAAAGGAATTCCCTGCCTTTCTCAGGTTATGAGTTGGGGTTTTCATTCTGTATACTTTGGGTTTCAAAAGAAAAAATCTAATTACTGAAAAAATGTAGAAGACATAAAAGCACAGAGAAGACATTTGTAACAGTATCTAGAGATATCACTTTTTAATATTTTGTTGTATAACCTAGTCTTACGTACATATTTTTACAGCATATATGTGCACATACAAACATTTGCAAATATGTCATTTTTCACATGTCATTAACTGTTCTTTTTTGATGGCTTAGGTGTATTTTGTTTTTCTTTAGATTATTCTCTTAAATAGATTTTAATGGCTGTATAAAATTATACCTTCAGCACTTTCTAAAGAGTCTCTTCCAGATATCAGACAGTCTCTGAAACCAGCGATGTTATGCTTTGTACCTTTCAGAAGGTTAACTAATCTTTCTAAGAACTTTAAAGCATAGATAACTTTTTAATCTAGTCGTCACGTACTTAGACCTTTTTTGGTTATAACAGCAAAGAACAATGTTATTTTATACTTCCTGGAACACAAAATAACATTTCTATATTTCAGATAATGTATACTTTTGTTCGTATTTTTCTTATAATTTAGGCTATTGGCTTCATCATAACCCTGAGATTTTTAAGTTTTTACTTAGACTTTAGAATTTGAGCATGGATTTCTAACTCCTAGAACCTTATCAAAATGAGTTAATGATGTAGCCCAGTACTATTCAGTAAAACTTTTGTACTGATGGAAGTGTTCATTGTCTGCAATTTCTAATAGCCACATAAGGCTATTAAGCATTTGAAATGTGTCAGGGCAACTGAGAAACGTAATGTTTTAGTTTCTATTTATTTTTATTAGTTAACTTTAATTAATTTGAATAGCCACATGTGGCTACCCCATCACTACCATATTGGACAGCACAGATGTAGACTAATAGTATCGTTTTCAATCATTTGAAACAGCTAAGAAAACATCAGTAAAGAAGTCCCCTGAGTAAACTTTAATAATATCAAAAAGTCTATATAAACATACGTATTTTACTAATAGGAGTTCCTTTCTGGTGGTCCTCAGATTGTAGTACTCTTGCTTAAAGATACAAGTTATCTGTTTTTTCCAAACTTGAATGGATGAAAAGTAGCAAATCAGCCTTACCTATTGCAAGTGGCTTCTGAGGAGCTTGCTCCAGTTACATTAAAGTGTAGTCTTCAAAGAATTCAAGAGAAGCTTTGATTGTGTTAACATGTACTCTATGTTAACAGAAAAGAATACAATCTTAGAAATTTTTCTTTCCAGAATTAAAACATAAATGGTTTGGCATTTAGAAGTAGAAGCTTAAGTAATTAAGAGTGTCAAATATGATTATATTATACTCATTTATATTAACTACATATGAAAATGAACACAATAGAAAATTTACTTTCAAGTGTAAAATTTGTTGAATATCCACATGGCAATTTTTATGTGTAATTTCATACATTAGTAAAATTCAAAATTACTTTTCAGAATTTTTCTCTCAAGTTTGGGGTAAGTGGTGGTTGGTGGGGGCTGATTGAGTAGAAAAGAGTAATTGACCCAGACTTCAAATTGATTTTTTTTTTCCCATTTAGAGGCCTTAATATTTTA